TCTAACTGCCGCCCGTTTCTCCAAGCTCTAAATAAATTTTAGCAGAACTTAGCAACACAGCAGTTATAAAGTGTTAAAACACTCACTCTAAACATTTGCCCCCAAATTGGTAGTATATCTGTGGTTTATATTTTTCCACATTGTATACCAGAATACACGTTTTTCTGCAGTCTGGGAGAAATGCTTTAAAATTTTTAAATGGCTTTCAAAGTATAAGCCCGTGTGGTTACAGCATTTCCTTCGAACAAAATGTAAGTTATTACATCATTCTGTAAAATGTCTGTGATCTCCAGCCCTTAACTATGTTAAAATAAAAGTTACAAAATGTAAACATGTCTGTGGCTTCAGGATTATTTTCAAGCAGCAGGAACACACGCAACACTAACACAATCACTAGGACAGACACTAGGAGCAGTGGGCTTTTTCATCTCTCTTCCCTGCTTTCTGTTTCACCACCAGCCAAATCTCCAGGCTGTTAGAACCATAGCCTGTGAGGAGGAGAAATAATATTAGAAATCCTCTACTCTTCATTTTGCAGAATGGAAAACTACGGAGCCAGAGGGGGTTTAGCAACTCACCACGGTCACACAATCAGTTAAGAGCAAAGAATTCATTCTCTTAAATGCCGATCCAGCACTCCTGACAGAACCAAGTGAGCATTTTAAGCTGACAATTCTTTCCCCACCACAACCCTTTTATGAATGCAAGACCTGCAAGCCCCAGTAAAATGAGGCTAAGGTCCCCTCCCCTTCCTGATTCCTGCCAGGAAATCTGCATTACCTAAATCACCAGCTACCTTGGGATTTTAAAATAGAATTACCTCACACAGAGCTTGTTAATGAGATGGAATAATGAATGACTACTGCTGTTGCTCAGATTAAGGAACTTTCCATTGAGTCTGTCTAGCATGTCAATGACTTGCTTCTGTTTTCCTAAGAACATTCAAGAAGCGGCAATTACAGAAGTACCCACTTTTATTAATAGCTGAATTTTAAACAGAAATTGTGTGGAGGATATTTACTAATCAACAGGAAGCACCTGCCGTGGGTTGTACATTTGTAGAACTGCAAACTGAAGGGAAGACAGGCAAGCCTAGTGTTTGCTTTAACTGTCTTCCTTTTCAAGTATCTTCACTGATATACATGCTGCTGAGGGTACAACCTTTAAAGTTTCTAACAAAATGAAAATATTTCACGTACTGAACATGGTGGTTCCCCCAATGGCACATTTTTAGAGAACAGCATTCAGCCAATTGGATATTACAGATATGGTTCTGGCTACAGTAAACTAGCCGCTCCAGTTCTCAATCCGCCAGCCCCTCAAGAGGTTGAAATTACCAAAGCAACAAGATTTCAGGGTAACTGGATCCTGCATGAATAGAATACACAAGGCAATTAGTTCCTCAGTCAAAAACAATAAACACAAAAGCAGACACAGTCCAATACATACAATTTACTTGACAGAATCAAAGGGACTATTTTACTTTATTAAGATTTTTTTTTGACGTGGAACTTTTTATTTTTTTAATTTATGGCTGTGTTGGGTCTTCATTGCTGCGCGCAGGCTTTCTCTAATTGCGGCGAGTGGGGGCTACTCTTCATTGTGGTGCCCGGGCTTCTCATTACAGTGGCCTCTCCATTGCGGAGCACGGGCTCTAGGTGCGCGGGCCTTGGCAGTTGTGGCACGTGGGCTTCAGTAGTTGTGGCTCGCGGGCTCCAGAGCGCAGGCTCAGTGGTTGGGGCGCACGGGCTTAGTTGCTCCGTGACACGTGGGATTCCCGGACCAGGGCTCGAACCCGTGTCCCCTGCATTGGCAGGCGGATTCTTAACCACTGCGCTACCAGGGAAGCCCTGATGTGGACCATTTTTAAAGTCTTTATTGAATTTGTTACATTGCTTCTGTTTTATGTTTTGGTTTTTTGGCAGCGAGGCATATGGGACCTTAGCTCCCTGACCAGGGATCGAACCTGCACCCCCTGCATTGGAAGGCGAAGTCTTAAATCACTGGACCACCCGGGAAGTCCCCAAAGGGACTAATTTTACAAGTCTCAATTTTTGAAAGCAAACCCAGACTCAGAATCAGGGTGAACCAAGCTAAACGTATATCCTCTCCCCAGCCACACCCTCAACACACTCCTCTTTTAAAAATCGCTTTATAGGAAGCTGTTGAGAAAACAAGCAAACTGATAGCTTGACTAAATGGCTCCACTGATTCAATAAAAGAATTTAAACCTGATACCCAAGTACTTCTATCCTAGAAATTCAAGATCACACATCCAACCGACCAACACAATTTGGCTGCACAGAAGGATGGCGTGCATACAGAGGAAGAGCCAAGTTGAACTTCTCTGAGTAAAAATACATAAAATCGTTTCCCCAAGAGCTTTGAGGGGATAAACGTTCACTTTTATAGTGCAAAAGATAACATACTATACAAAACAGGTCAAATGTTTTACTTTAAAAGTGTGCCTCTTTGGGGAAAACTACCAGGTTTGATACTTTAAATCTTTTCATTCTGGAACTGAAGTCAGCAAGTAGACATATCTTGTAATTTCAGTTTATTAATAGTTTTGTTATGATTTTTAAAACCAGATTACAAAATGCTTAACTAACTCAATACTTATTTTTAAAAAGTCCTAAATTTGGTGTATTATGACAGTTTACAAGCAGTAGCATTTCCTCCACCCCACCCCCCCGCCCCATTGCAAGGTCAATTCTGTGGATATTTAAAAGTTTGTTTCTATTTTAACTAGCCCACAGACCCAATTCTTTAAGAGCTGAGCTGATTTCTTTCTAGCACATGGTCTACAGATATTTAAAATTGTTTCTATTTTAACTAGCCCACAGACCCAATTCTTTAAGAGCTGAGCTGATTTCTTTCTAGCACATGGTCTACAGACCCTGCTCATGGTAACCTTCTTTCCACCCCCTTCCAAAAAAGTCAGCACCTTCCGGCATGATGGACATTTTAAGTTAAAACCGTCAGTACAACCCTCAAAATGCAAGTTTATTGAATAAAGCTGAGAAGAGCAGTAAACAGACAAAAAACGCATCCACCTAAATAAAAAAATTCACATATTTACAAAGTTCAGTAACTGTTAGGTTCCACATGCAGAGGTTAATGCACAGGAAAACGTTGGTAGTAGTGTCTGGATGTCTTGAAACCCTGGAAGCAATGAACAGACACACAAACACATTACGGTTTAGCTGTAGGTCAATTAATGAACCTGTGCGGTCCCCACAGAGTCACACATTCTAGTTCTGATTCCTCCTTTTAGGCACAAGCAAATTGCCGCATTCTTTGTAACGGTTCACAGGGACCATTAATGGTGCTGAAGTACAGGAGCGAGTTTAAATATCCCTTCATGTACAGAACCACCATCCCATCAGGGAAGTACGCAACATGCTTCAAAGAATAAGAACAGAATTTTCAAAGCCAAGATTCTACTCATAAAAATGTGAAAGGAGAAAAGCAAATAGTGTCTGTGCAACACAGTGCAGTATTTTGTACAGAATATCATTAAGGCCATGGCAGTCTATAAATTAAAACTGGTATCATTAAAAGAACTTACTGTTGACTGCACTTTGAGTGCTCAACATGTTTGGAAATGCACTGTCTACATGAGTGCTGCTTAACAAAAGAAACAAAATCACACATAGTGTGAGGCAACACATAAGCAAGTGTACCATAGAGTTTTATCTACTACAGTGGGCTACGTAACAATTTACAAGTGCTCCAGTTTTAATATGTCCCTTTATGTGCATGGAGATCACTAAACTACAAAACATGTTCAGGTAAGTTTTTATACATCTCTGTATCATAGAAGCAAACAACAGACAGCATCACTTCCTCACCTCTGTGTGATTATTCAACAACCTGCAGCCGTTGTGCATGATTACATCAGATAAAGCAGGCAGGTCTAGAGTTGTCACAATAAACAAGATGTCTAATGGCACCAGACAAAAGAGTGCCAAACCTTGCATCGATAAGAGAGAAAAATAAGAATTTTTATTTGTTTATAAGTATCTATTGTGCTGAAAGTCAACTTTATGACTGAATATAAAAAGTCAAGAGTTAGAGTGTCATGCAGCAGCACTGGTTTAGTGACTGGAGAGAGAAAGAACAGACAGGTGTTTGAACAGTCTGACATTTTAACACGTTTATTATATTGGCTGGAATGCTCTAAATTCATGAAAGCTTCTGAGAAAATCTTCAATTCCCAACCCCTTAAAAAAGTGTGTTGAACCAGGAAAAAGAAAAGAAAAAATATAGAAGTAATGATCTGGACAGATACAAAACAGCATGCCTCAGTTCCTCCCGTACCCCCAACTGCTATCTGGAGAAGAACTCTCAGAAAGCAGAATGTGTTTAAAATTCATCGCCCAAGATCTTGCCAGTGTAAAGAAGGAACAACAACATTGATCTGGTGCCTCTATTCACTCTTTGCAGACCATTTTTTAAATTCCTAAGGTGTAATTATACATTTCACATGCATTTGTGAGATATGTAAACATTTTGTTTCTATCCCACATGAGTCAGGCTAAAGGTTTTCTAAATACTGTGTGTGGCACTAGAAACTTCATGCTGTATCAAGTCAGTATCAGTATTAAGCTACTGGACTCTATAATGAAATATCACAGACAGACATTTACTGAAAACCAATATAAAAACCTGGCCCAGAAAGACCAGAACAGAAATATGCAATTTTTCTTGACTTAAGATGGTCAAAAGTGTGTTTTTTTTAAAAAAGCTCTACACACTGTTTAAGACAAGTATGTATAAGAAGCCTTTTTGTGTGCTGACTTTATCATGACAACTCTAGCTGATTCTTTATGAAGGATTTAAGGATACACATCTTCAGCAGTGCACATGAGAAATAAACTCTGAAAAAGGCAATTTCTTGGGTTTAGGAAGGACCATATTCTGGGAAGTACTTCAGAGGAACGGACAATAATTCTAGGATTGTAGCCAGGAAGGACTGGAAGACTTCAGGAGATGCTTCAGCTTCTTCTAGATTTTGAATGTTGAATAAGCCACTGAAGTGTGATATCTAAAGACGGAGGGGAAAAAAGTGAAGAGGTTAAGATACCAAAGTTAAGAAACTAAATATCAGAGAATATTTAAAACGCAGCTATTTCAAAGCATATGCTGGGCCTGCCCTCTTCTTTTCTGCCTCTATACTACTATACTTATATAGATACCTGTATCTATCCTACTATTCTTCATTCCCTGACCTTCAAGAGGTTAATCTGGAAACACGAGAGACTGAAGAGTCTCCAATTTAAAAGCTAAATTGTGTACAGAACAGCTTGTGCCTTCCTTTATTCATTCAAAAGTTTACTGATTGACTGTAAGATCAGGTATTGTGTGTGAAGCTCCAGGATGCAAAGAGACGGGAAAACCACTCTCTGCCCTCGAGGAGCTTTCAGTATGCTGGAAAACATGCAGGTAGTCGCCTGGGTTTGGAGGACAGCCTCCACAGAATTCCAGGCAAAAGAAAGAGCAAAACTCATAGAATAAGCAGAGGCATGAAACTATGTGGAGCTCTGGCTGGATTACAAGTGATAAGATGTGGCTGAAGCACAGGGATGGGTAAGGGGGGTGCCACTCATTGCTACGGCTAGAGCAGGGGTTCTCAAGCCTTTTCACATTTGGGGCTGGATAATTCTTTGCTGTGCATAGTAGAATACTCTGCAACATCTATAACCTTGACCACAAGATGCCATTATCACCACCCCCCATCCTCAGCTGTGACAAGTAATGGCTCCAGATTATCTCCACATGTCCCCTGTGGCGCTCAGTTGTTTTCAGTTGAGAACCACAGGCCTAGAGGGAGCCAGATAACCTTGTGTGCCATTCTAAGATGCTCAGAAGTTTGGATTTTATTCTCAAGTCAACAGGAAGTCATTGGAGAATGTTAAGCAGGGAAACCATACTGTTTATTGTAAACTGTTAAGTTTATTGTAGTAAGTTCAACAATGGCAACCGAGGAGGGCAACTTGGAAGGCTGCCAGTATAGAGACTATCACAAGAGGAACAGGAAAGGGCCAAAGGCCTGAAGCAAATCAAGTGCTGTAGGAATGGAGAGGAATAAAATGAGGAGCATGTTCAAAATATAGAACCTAACAGGACTGAGCAAATGCAGGGGGTGAGAAAGAATCTTCTGGCCTGAATAAGTGTGTGTGTCATGGAGCTGCTGACTAACAGTAGCTAAAGGAAGAACAGGCTTGAGAAAAAAAGACTAAGAATTCGGCAGTAGGTACACCAAGTTTGAGATGGAGAAGGTAGCACATGGAGATGTCCAGCAGGTAGTTTCATCTGTACAGATCTGAGGAAGAGATGGAGACTGGCAAGACAGCATCGTAGAGGTGGCAACTGAAGCTACAGTGGCCGAGAATAGCCAGGAAAGGCACTTAGACTGACAGGACAAGGCAGCTAAGGAGGACTGGTACTTTGCTATGGCAGTCCTAGGAAATTAATACAGACATTAAGTAGATAAAGGGTATTCTGGGCTTATCCTTTAGAGAGCTAACATACTGCAGTAATATATTTTGATTTTGACACATGCAAAATCATAATAATGCCTATAGACCCATTTTTGTAAAGTCTTATTTCAAAAACATCATCCTGTTATAATGCACAGCCGGACATTAGCTCTGCAAAAATTAATACAATAAACTGATATCACATAATGCTTAACTTCATGTCTCTTTTGCATTTACTTCTTTAAATAGCATGGAGCAGATTCAGGATATTATATTTGTTGTCAAAAGGTATAACGTGTACTCTTTTTCCTGAGGCAAAAGCAACAGTACTTTATAAGGGAAATCACTTAAACAGAAATGGAGATAATAAACAGTAAAAAGCATGAGACATCCCTTCTAATGATACCCACTTCTTCCACAAACACCAGACATTTCTTACCTATATTATCCTTTTCTTTGCAAGAAATTGAATAGCAGCAAATTTCTCTATCCTGAATAGCAGACAGATTCCTATAAACAGCAGAATTAAGAAAATAAGTCTGTGCTTAAAACAACTGTCATCTTTTCACTCACTGCTCAATTTTGCTTGTTTTTTGAATTACCACACAGAAGAAATTATTTTACTGATACTAAAATTTTACGGGGACTTCCCAGGTGGCGCAGGGATTAAGAAGCCACCTGCCAATGCAGGGGACAAGGGTTCAAGCCCTGTTCTGGGAAGATCCCACACGCCACGGAGCAACTAAGCCCGTGTGCCACAACTACTGAACCCATGTGCCACAACTACTGAAGCCCACACACCTAGAGCCCGTGCTCCACAACAAGAGAAGCCACTGCAATGAGAAGCCCATGCACCACAACAAAGAACCAATGCGGCCAAAAATTCATTCATTCATTCATTAAAAAAACAACGTTTAAGGGGGAAAAAAAAAGTTACGGGTTCACTTTTCTAGTATGTCAAGTTTATGTACTCCAAAACGTGACTATGATCATTACTGAATAATACAGCAATGCTAAACAAAGCAGTGGGCAAAAGAGTGTAATTTAGAACCAAATTATTTTTAAAAACCATCATTCATTCTTAAGACATACATTTTTTCAATTAGCTGTTTCTCATCCAAGGCATTAGGAAGATCTCTCTTGTTTCCAAGCACTAGCACCTTTAAAAAGAAAAGATACTGAGTAAATTTTACGTAAGAAAATGTCACAGTAGCATACCATGTGCATATCTGTAGACATTAAAATCAGGATGTTACGTCATGCCATAATTAAAGTATATTTATGTGACTGGTGTCCTATCTCATTCATTTAATCATTCAAATTAACATTTACTCTAACTCCTACCATGCACATGTCCTTAATTCAATATGTGGCTGCCAACTTCTATTTGAAATATTCTAAGTCTACGGTATACATTCTGCTATTTCTTAATAAATCTTTACCAAGAAGTGAATGTGATCTTAACAACCAAGGGTGGAGGAATGAGTTTCAACCATTTTTATCTGTTAGTCATTAATCTAACAGTAAACATGTAAATAAGCCTTTAAAATTCTACACCCATCCTATAAAATATAATGTATAAATATTCTAAGATAATGGATAAGCCTGGGGATCAGAATAAATGCAGTAGCCAGAAACTCTGAGAATAAATACCACCATCTGATTGGTAGATGTGCTTTGAAAAGCAAGGAAAGCGGAGAGGGGCGTCCCAATCATCACTCTATCTTTCCCAGGTACATCCTTTCTGCCTTATGAAAAGCAAAACCTATGAGTACATATAACATTTGATAACATCCTTACTGAGTCAACGTTCCCTAAGAAACTGTATCTTTGACCAATCCTAAGAAAGTACACGCCATGTCTACCTTGTCATCTTGTTAAACACTTGCCAAACCTATTTCTTTCACTTAATACATGCCCCTCCCCCACCCCTAACTCCAAACACGGCGACTGATTCTATTTCTAGGCCCTAGACGCTTAGTTCTCACGAAGGAGAAAGAGCCAAGGACAGAGACAGAGAGCCAGGGTCACCAGGAGCTCCCCGGGGAATGCTAAATCACAGGGGTCAGAGAGCCAAAAGCCAAATCTCAGCACCTTCGGTCAGCCCGTCCTCCCCTCCCCAACTCTTACCCCTCTCCACACTCTTATTTAAGTCACCCCACGTTCTCAACCTGGACCTGTGTGAGTTTTAAAAACTGCATCATGGTCATTTGTGATCAGTTGTCAGTTTTGGGGTTGGCTGACATCTTAGCCCTCTTCCTACATTTAAGAAATCTTCCACCTTATGAACCTGCCTCCCAATAAAGCTTCTTGCTTCTGTAGACAATTTCTTTTCCAGCCTTCCTTTCTGCTAGAGAATGGACACATAATCTAGGATCAACCAGAACTATGAATGCAGAGCCAGTACTGCAAGAGAGTGGGGAAAGAGAATCCATTCTGCTAGGGAAGGGGCATCAACTAAATGACCTTCCAATCGGAGCAACTGTGTCTGGTGTTCAGAAACTGCATGAAGTCACCAGACTTACTCGATGGTATAAGTCTGGATGTGGTCCTAGCAGCTGCTGAGCCTCCCTTGTTCCAGCCTATTTTCTGAAGATGGTTATGGGCAGCCTTCTCCCAGACTCGGTGAGCTACCCAATATCCTTTCAGTAAATTCTTTTCTACTTAAATCAGCTTTCTATTGCTTGCAACTAGGAACTCTTACGGTGACCAAGACAAGACTGATTTTTTTACTTATGGTGTGCAGAACTAGTTGTTAACATAGAAGAAGAAGAATAGACTTTGAAGTCAGAGAGACATGGAGGCAAAACCTAGCTGTGCCAAAACGCTAATGACCACGTGATCTTGAGTGAATAACAACTGTTACAAAGGAGGGATCACACCATCGACCTCAATACATTGTGAGGATTAACTGAGACAACATACCTCGAGGATCTGACACTTGCGAACTGGTCATGAGGGTAAAGCCTAGTCCTTTTCAGCATCCCTCAGCTCAACAAATGGCACCACCTTCCATCTAACTAAAAGAGCCAGGAACTAGGAATTACTCTTTATATCTTCCCATTTAAACATTACAAAGTCTGGTGGCCACTCTTCCTAAAGATCCTTCCAGTCTATTTCTTTCGCACAACCTTGTCTACGACCACCCCAATCCATGGTACTCTATTTTGCCAAGACAACTTCAAGAGCTTCCTAAAACTGTCCTCCTTATAGTCCCACTTCAATCCATTCTTAAACTGACATCAGAATGATTTAGATGATAAATCTCACCATTTAAAAACAACAAGGGAGGGCTTCCCTGGTGGCGCAGTGGTTGAGAATCCGCCTGCCGATGCAAGGGATGTGCGCCGGTCCGGGAAGATCCCACATGCCGTGGAGCTGCTGGGCCTGTGAGCCATGGCCGCTGAGCCTGCGAGTCCGGAGCCTGTGCTCCGCAACGGGAGACGCGACAACAGCGAGAGGCCCGCGTACCGCAAAAAACAACAACAACAACAAAAAACACCCAGGGAGCTTCAAGATGGCGCAAGAGTCAGACGCAGAGATCACCTTCCTCCCCACAGATACATCAGAAATACATCTACATGTGGAACTGCTCCTACAGAACACCGACTGAATGCTGGCAGAAGACCTCAGACCTCCCAAAAGGCAAGAAACTCCCCACGTACCTGGGTAGGGCAAGAGAAAAAAGAATAAACAGAGACAAAGAATAGGGATGAACCTGCAACAGTGGGAGGGAGCTGTGAAGGAGGAAAGGTTTCCACACACTAGGAAGCCCCTCTGTGGGTGGAGACTGTGGGCGGCAGTGGGGGGAGCTTCGGAGCCACGGAGGAGAGCGCAGGAACAGGGGAGCGGAGGGCAGAGCGGAGAGATTCCCAACAGAGGATCGGTGCCGACCAGCACTCACCAGCCCGAGAGGCTTGTGTGCTCACCCACCGGGGCGGGCACGGCTGGGAGCTGAGGCTCAGGGTTGGGGCACAGGGAGAGGACTGGGGTTGGCTGCATGAACACAGTCTGAAGGGGGTTAGTGCACCACGGCTAGCCGGGAGGGAGTCCGGGAAAAAGTCTGGACCTGCCTAAGAGGCAAGAGACCATTGTTTCCTGGTGCGCGAGGAGAGGGGATTCAGAGCACCGCCTAAACGAGCTCCAGAGATGGGCACGAGCCGCGGCTAGAAGCGCGGACCACAGAGACGGGCATGAGATGCTAAGGCTGCTGCTGCCGCCACCAAGAAGCCTGTGTGCGAGCACAGGTCACTAACCACACCTCCCCTCACGGGAGCCTGTGCAGCCCGCCACTGCCAGGGTCCCGGGACCCAGGGACAACTTCCCCAGGAGAACGCACAGCACGCCTCACGCTGGTGCAACGTCACGCCGGCCTCTGCCGTCGCAGGCTCGCGCCGCATCCGTACCCCTCCCTCCCACTGGCCTGAGTGAGCCACAGCCCCCGAATCAGCTGCCCCTTTAACCCCATCCTGTCTGAGAGAAGAACAGACGCCCTCAGGCGACCTACACACAGAGGCGGGGCCAAATCCAAAACTGAACCCTGGGAGCTGTGAGAACAAAGAAGACAAAGGGAAATCTCTCCCAGCAGGCTCAGGAGCAGCAGATTAAATCTCCACAAACAACTTGATATACCCCGAATCTGTGGAATACCTGAACAGACAACGAATCATCCCAAATTGAGGAGGTGGACTTTGGGAGCAATGCTATATATATATTTTTTCCCTTTATCTTTTTTTCTGAGTGTGTATGTATATGCTACTGTGTGTAACTATGTCTGTATAGCTTTGCTTTTACCATTTGTCCTACGGTTCTGTCCATTTTTTTTTTTTTTACTTAAAACACTTTTTTCTTAATAATTATTTTTTATTTTAATGACTATTTTATTTTATCTTCTTCTTTCTTTCTCTCTTTTTTTTCTCCCTTTCCTTCTGAGCTGTGTGGAGGACAGGCTCTTGGTGCTCCAGCCAGGTGTCAGAACTGTGCCACTGAGGTAGGAGAGCCAAGTTCAGGACACTGGTCGACAAGAGACCTCCCAGCTCCACGTAATATCAAATGGTGAATATCTCCCAGAGATCTCCATCTCAACACCAAGACCCAGCTTCACTCAACAACCAGCAAGCTACAGTGCTGGACACCCGATGCCAAACAACTAGCAAGACAGGAACACAACCCCACCCATTAGCAGAGAGGCTGCCTAAAATCATAATAAGTTCACAGACACCCCAAAACACAGCACCAGACGTGCTCCTGCCCACCTGAAAGACAAGATCCAGCCTTATCCTCCAGAAAACAGGCACCAGTCTCCTCTACCAGGAAGCCTAAACAACCCACTGCACCAACCTTATCCACAGGGGGCAGACACCAAAAACAATGGGAACTATGAACCCACAGCCTGTGAAAAGGAGACCAAACCCAGTAAGTTAAGCAAAATGAGAAGACAGAGAAATACACAGCAGATGAAGGAGCAAGGTAAGAACCCACCAGACCTAACAAATGAAGAGGAAATAGGCAGTCTACCTGAAAAAGAATTCAGAATAATGATAGTAAAGATGATCCAAAATCTTGGAAATAGAATGGAGAAAATACAAGAAACGTTTAACAAGGACCTAGAAGAACTAAAGAGCAAACAGAGATGAACAACACAATAAATGAAATTAAAAATTCTCTGGAAGGGATCAATAGCAGAATAACTGAAGCAGAAGAACGGATAAGTGACCTGGAAGATAAAATACTGGAAATAACTACTGCAGAGCAGAATAAAGAAAAAAGAATGAAAAGAATGGAGGACAGTCTCAGAGACCTCTGGGACAACATTAAACGCACCAACGTTCGAATTATAGGGGTCCCAGAAGAAGAAGAGAAAAAGAGACTGAGAAAATATTTGAAAAGATTATAGTTGAAAACTTCCCTAATATGGGAAAGGAAATCGTTAATCAAGTCCAGGAAGCACAGAGAGTCCCAGACATAATAAATCCAAGGAGAAACATGTCAAGACATATATTATTCAAACTATCAAAAATTAAATACAAAGGACAAATATTAAAAGCAGCAAGGGAAAAAATACAAGTAACACATAAGGGAATCCCCATAAGGTTAACATAAGCTGATCTTTCAGCAGAAACTCTGAAAGCCAGTAGGGATGGCAGGACATATTTACAGT